GAACGGCCCCCACCCACCCGCGGGCACCCCTGGCGGGTCCCCGCAGAGCTGCGATCCCCCCAACCGCCCAGCACCCTCGTTCTCACCCCACAGTGACCGGCTCACGCTCGGGGTGAAGCATCTAGAACGTGTCGCCCCAAATCGCCTCCTTAAATAGAAACGCTTTCATGTCCAGCTCAGGGCGCGGAGCCCCGGAGTGGAATCCAGGCCGCAGGCCCTCTGAGCACTCCGTGTACGGACGCTAACACCAAAGTGAACGGCCGCCACTCTCCTCTCACACGGGAGGGTTCAGCGAATGTCTGAACACGGTGACCCCACCAGACTCCTCCATCAACGTCTCCGTGCGGAAACGGGGCCCCCGGCTCAGCCGCCTGCGACCATCACGGAACCCGGTTCCCAGCCGACAGAGCAGTGAAAGGTTACAAAGGCTCTTCCTTCCTCCCTGAAGACTGGCGTGGAAATAAAGGCCGCACGATGCTCTCTAAGGCAGAGGGTCTTACGGACTTAACTGACGTTCACTCGATAGAAAATCAAAACGGGTTTCTGTTTACTTCTCAGTCAACCCAAAACGTCAATTACCCAAACCTATGTCACGTGGTGCATCAGCTTCGGGGAGTTCTTCACGGCTCTCGGGGCAAGTCCAAGGCCGGGGGCCTCCCTCTCGGGGGAGTGTCTGTTCTACGGAAGGAGAAACGTGCCGACAAGCGAAACCACACTCGCCCGGCCGCGTCGGAAATGCCGGAGGAAGCCTGGGGCGCGGACACACGGGGGTGGGCGCGGGTTTGAGGCGTTGCAATGGGAAAAGCCCTTTGACGACATGAGTCCAGGGGGGCTCTGGGTGAGGCCTCGCAGGTGTCAGCACCCTGCCCATCGCTCGGAGGCACAACCGATGGGCCCAACGCAGGACCCAGGGCAGGTGGCGACAGTGAGAGGCAGGATGGACGATGAGACGGAACACACGGCTTCTACCGAGAAAGGGAAACCCAGCCCGCGTCCCCGCGGCAGGAGGCGGTCCCATCGCTCCGTGCTCCGCGCTCCGCGCTGTGGGTGCTCACGCAGAGGAACACCCTTTCTCCGTCACTGATGACAAAGCCCTGCACAGGCAAGGCGGGGAGGAACGGGAGCTCCCCGGACAACAGGCCACGCCATCTGAAGACATTTCATTACAATAGCACTTTGATCAGAAGGTACTGAGCCCGGCCGGCGTGGCTCAGTGGTGAGCGCCGACCTAGGAACCAGGAGGTCAGGGTTCATCGCAGAGGAACACCCTTTCTCCGTCACTGATGACAAAGCCCTGCACAGGCAAGGCGGGGAGGAACGGGAGCTCCCCGGACAACAGGCCACGCCATCTGAAGACATTTCATTACAATAGCACTTTGATCAGAAGGTACTGAGCCCGGCCGGCGTGGCTCAGTGGTGAGCGCCGACCTAGGAACCAGGAGGTCAGGGTTCGATTCCCGCTCAGGGCTGCAGGCCCGGGTCGTGGGCTCGATCCCCAGTGTGGGGCCTGCAGGAGGCAGCCGAGCCATGGTTCTCTCTCATCATTGTTCCTCTCTCTCTCTCCCTCTCCCGTCCTCTCTGAAATCAATAAAAATATGTATAAAAATAAAATAAAACACGTTTCTCCTGCAGCGTCCCTGTCCCCTCCCCTCACAGCTGGCGTTTTTCAGAGCGAGCTCAGCCCCGGGCGCGTGGGCAGGGTTCACACCAGGTCCGTCTCGTTCGGGGCGACGCTCGGCCGAGAGGCACACGCGAAACGCACGAAACCCGGCTCAGAAGGAAACAGGCCCCCGTCCCCCGAGAGGAGAGCCCGGCCCGGGTGACGGCTCGTGTTCAGAAAGAGCGAGAACCCCGGGCCCCGCAGCCGGGGGAGCGGACTCACCCACGACGTCGAGGTGGTAGGTGTGGTTGATGGAGCCACACTCGTTCTCCACCACGCAGGTGTAGTTGCCTTTGTCGGAAGGGACCACGCTCTCCATGATCAGGCTCCAGTGCTGGTTGCGCACCTGCAAGGTCAGAGCAGAGGGGGTCAGCCCGCGGCCTCAGCACAGAGCGCCCAGCGCCCGGCGCCGGCTCTTGATTTAAATAGTCGGGGGGTGAGGGAGGTCAGGGTCTCCTGAATCCTGCCCGGCCGGCGGGGCTCAGGGGCCGAGCGTCGACCGAGGAGCCAGGAGGTCAGGGTGCGATTCCGGTCAGGGCACAGGCCCGGTTGTGGGCTGGATCCCCGGTGGGGGGCGTGCAGGAGGCAGCCGGTCCATGATCCTCTCTCATCATGGGTGTTTCTCTCTCTCTCCCTCTCCCTTCCTCTCTGGAATCAGTAAAAATATATTAAACAGAATAGTCAGGGGGTGAGGAAGGTCAGGACCTCCTGAAGCTGCCCGGCCGGCGTGGCTCAGGGGCCGAGCATCGACCGAGGAGCCAGGAGGTCAGGGTGCGATTCCCGGTCAGGGCACAGGCCCGGTTGCGGCTGGATCCCCAGTGGGGGGCGTGCAGGAGGCAGCCGGTCCATGATCCTCTCTCATCACGGGTGTTTCTCTCTCTCCCTCTCCCTTCCTCTCTGGAATCAGTAAAAATATATTAAACAGAAGAAAAAGCATCTCCTGAATCCTAACTGCCCTCATGCGAGCACGCGGAAGGTGACAAACGGGAACAACGGTCACGGGGGTGAATGGCGAGCGGCGGACACGTGTGTTAGGACGCCCAGGCGTGTGGGCATGAGTCACTGTCACAGGTCCGAGGGCCCCCGAGTCGGGGCCCA